GCATACAGAGGGTACCACCAGATTGCTATGTACCCTCCAGATGAGGAGAAGACCGCGTTCATCACCCCGAAAGGCCTGTACTGTTATAAGGTAATGCCTTTTGGGCTGAAAAACGCAGGAGCAACCTATCAGAGGTTAGTAACAAAGATGTTTAAACATCTGATCGGCAAAACAGTAGAAGTTTACATTGATGACATGGTCGTAAAGACCAAGGAGTCAAAAGGTCATCTTGCCGACCTAAAAGAGGTCTTTGACATACTCAAAAGATATCGGCTCCGACTCAACGCCGCAAAGTGTGCCTTCGGAGTTGGGTCAGGTAAATTCCTAGGCTATCTGGTAACAAGAAAGGGCATAGAGGCCAGCCCAGACCAAATCAAAGCCATCCTGGAGCTACAGAGCCCAACATCGACAAAGCAAGTCCAAATGCTCACTGGAAGGGCCGCAGCCCTAAACCGATTCATCAGCAGAAGCTCAGACAAGTGCAGACCCTTCTTTAACCTGGTGAAAAAAGCCACAGAGTTCCTATGGACGGAAGAATGTGAAGCTGTCTTAGCCGACCTGAAAAAGTACCTGACCACAACCCCGGTCCTTTCTAACCCAGTCCCAGGGGAAGAATTGTTTTTATACTTAGCAGTCTCTGAACACGCAGTCAGTGCAGTACTAATCCGAGAGAAAAAAGGGGAGCAGAAGGCTGTCTATTATGTAAGCAAGACTTTGGCTAACGCGGAAACAAGGTACCTACCACTGAAAAAATTAATGCTAGCCTTGGTAATGGCCCAAAGAAATTGAGCCATTACTTTCAGGCACACAAGATTGCGGTTCTAACAGAGCACCCATTGAAGTCCTTATTACATCAAGGAGACCTAACAGGAAGGATAGCGAAATGGGCAGTAACACTGGGCCAGTTTGACCTGGAGTTTATACCTACCACTGGAAAAATTAATGCTAGCCCTGGTAATGGCTTCAAAGAAATTAAGCCATTACTTTCAGGCACACAAGATTGTGGTTCTAACAGAGCACCCACTGAAGTCTTTATTGCATCAGGGAGACTTAACAGGAAGGATAGCAAGATGGGCAGTGACACTGGGTCAGTTTGACCTGGAATTTAGACCAAGAACAGCAATAAAGGGCCAAGTTTTGGCCGACTTCGTCGCAGAACTCACACCTAAGGCCATCACACCTCGGGCTCCGTCGAGCCAAGATGAGGACCATCCCAACAAACAGAAAGAATCCCAGTCAAAGACCAAAAAGCAAGAGGAAGGAAAACTCAGACCATGCAGCATCTACATCGGCGATTCATTCAGATTATTCGTCGATGGAAGTTCAAACCGCCAGGGGGCAGGAGCAGGAGTACTGCTGATATCTCCAGATGGGGAAATATTAGAACAGTCCATCCGTTTGGGGTTCAAAGCCTCCAATAATGAAGCAGAATATGAAGCATTAATTGCAGGACTAAAGCTAGCAGCAGCAGCTGAGGCAGACGAGGTAATTATTTTTTGTGATTCACAATTAATTGTTAACCAGTCAACAGGAGAATTTACAGCCAGAGACGAAAGAATGTCGGCATATGCAAAGGAAGTCATCCGACTGGAAGCCCTATTCCAGAACTGCAGATTACTCCAAGTCAGCCGAGATGACAACACCCACGCCGACGCGTTAGCCAACCTGGCCAGCTCAATTCAAACTGGAAAAACAAGGACAATTATGATCGACTACATGTCGGCCCCGAGTATAGACAAACAAAGCACCGAACAAGAAACAATGTGCGTGGGCCTTGGACCAAGCTGGATGGATGCAATCATTGCATTCCTAAAAGAAGGGAAGCTGCCAGAAGACCATAAAGAAGCACATAAAATTAGGCTGAAATCGGCCAGATTCAGCCTAACAGCGGAAGGCCATCTCTACAGGAGGTCCTTCACTGGACCACTCTTAAGGTGCGTACACCCTTTACAGGTTGAAGATTTTCTTTACGAGATTCATGAAGGAATTTGTGGAAGCCATGTTGGGGGCAGATCGTTAGCCCACAGGGCCATTACCCAGGGGTATTGGTGGCCCTACATGCAAAAGGATGCCGAAGCCTATGTAAAGAAGTGTGAACAATGTCAAAGGTTTGCACCTTTGATACATCAGCCAGCTGCCGACCTAAACCCAGTATCCAGCCCTTGGCCGTTTGCCCAATGGGGCATGGATCTGGTTGGACAACTTCCCCAGGCAACTGGGCAGAGAAAATAGTTGCTGGTAGCAACAGACTACTTTACAAAATGGATAGAGGTAGAACCTCTTGCCAAAATCTGAGATGTGGATGTCAAGAATTTTATATGGAGAAACATTATCACAAGATTTGGGATTCCAAGAGCAATAGTTGCCGACAACGGAACACAGTTCGACAGCAAACTTATCAAAAACTTTTGTGCAAAATTCAAAATCAAGAACTATTTCTCAACTCCAAGTTTTCCTCAAAGCAATGGGCAAGCAGAGGCGTCCAACAAAGTAATCCTGGATGGAATAAAAAAGAGGCTCCAGGCAGCAAAAGGAAAGTGGGTGGACGAGATTACCCAACGTACTTTGGGCATATCGGACTACGCCGAGAAGATCTACAGGAGAATCCCCCTTTGCCATGGCCTATGGCACAGAAGCAGTCATCCCATTGGAAATCGGCATCCCAGGGATCAGAACCCAGGGAGTAGAGAATGGCACCAATGACATACTCTTAGCCCGAGACCTGGATTTATTGGAAGAACGAAGAGAGAAGGCTGCGATTCAGCTCGCAGTATACCAGCAACAGCTTGCCAGAGCTTACAACAAGAAGGTTAATCCAAGAGATTTTCAAGTTGGCGACCTAGTCCTAAGAAAAGTCGTCGGGAACAAGAAGGATCCCATGGAGGGCAAGCTTGGCCCAAACTGGGAAAGACCCTACAAAGTTACTTCGGTATTAGGCAATGGAGCATATCGGCTCGAGGACAATGAGGGCAAAGCATTGCCCAGACCTTGGAATACCTGTAATTTGAAATTTTTCTTTCATTAGATAAACATCATTGTTTGGCCGATATTATCAATAAAGTCTTTTCAGAATCCTTTCAACATGTTCGATTGATAAAGTTATGCATGGATGTTTATTGAAGACATATCAAAACTCAGGCAAAGCTGATTCCTTAATTCACTTGTTGAAATTTGTAGCAATTTACAAGTTGAAGCTAAGCCGATGTTATTACTTAATCCACTTGTTGAAATTTGTAGCAATTTACAAGTTGGAATTAAGCTGATTCCTTATCTTCACTTGTTGAAATTTGTAGCAATTTACAAGTTGAAACTAAGCCGATGTTATTCCTTAACACTTGTTGAAATTTGTAGCAATTTACAAGTTGGAATTAAGCTGATTCCTTATCTTCACTTGTTGAAATTTGTAGCAATTTACAAGTTGAAGCTAAGCCGATGTTATTCCTTAATTCACTTGTTGAAATTTGTAGCAATTTACAAGTCGAAGATAGACCGAGGTTATTGCTTAAGTTCTCACAGCAATATGTGGGTTGTTTAAACCCTATGGAAGATGCTTAACACTTGTTGAAATTTGTAGCAATTTACAAGTTTATGTTAAGCCGACATATGATCACCCGCCGAGGTATACAGAAAATTGCAGGTTAAAATAAAAGCTAAGTATATTGTTCATTACTTGTTGAAATTTATGAAAAGTTTGCAGGTTAGTATCTTGCCGAAGTAAAAGTTTTACGGTTATGCCCGAGGTATAAAACCCCGAGACGATTGCGCAAAGGAAGCAACATGAAGAAGCATGCAGAAAAAATTTTCTAAGTACAAGACTATGCAAAAGCAGTCAAACAGTATATCGCAAGATTAAAGCATCCAGGGGAAAAACTGTAGCAATTACACATTGAAGAAACCACGTCGGCAAAAAGAAAGAGTTTTACATTATCCAGAAAGTAAGAAAGTACAAAACGCAAAAAACAAGAAGGAAAAAGTACAGAGGACAATTTTTTCAAGACTCTTGTGCATCAGCAACAGCGGGAACTGGGACCTCGGACGATTCAGGAGGAATCTCCTCGGCCGCCTTTTCGGCTTGTATCTCGGCATCGATCTCAGCAACTGTGGACTCAACACTTCTTTCTGCCAGAGGAAGATTGGATGATAGTTGCCCAGTGGCAGACTCCCTGGGTACCCCCTCAACCTCATCACCCTCCTCATCCAAAGTCAAGTCCATAACCTGCTCAGCAGGAGGAGGGGACTTGGTTTCGACAGCATCCTTGGGTTTTCTCACCAAGGCATCACCATCATCTTTTTCTTCATCTTCGTCCACAGCATCGGCCTCAGACTCTGAGTCACCTTCAGGAGGAGGTGGAGGAAATGGTAGAGGAATAGCGTCGGCCTGACGCAATGGCGAGTCAGCGCAGGAAGATCAAGCTTCTTTACCAGGGACATCCAACCAAGGGAAAATCCCCTGTTGCATGCCTGCCTGACTTGAAGCTTGTAGTCTTCTGCAACATCGGCCATGCCTTGAGCATAGGCCTTTTCATCGGCCTCTTTCACTTCGGCCTCCTTAGTGGCCAGAGCTTGTTGAAGTTCTTTTTGTGCCTGGACCTTCTGAGCTTCGGCCTCCCTTTTCTCGGCTTCAGCTACTTTTTTAACGACTTCAGCAGCCTCGGCCTTTTCTAGAGCTAGGGTATGGTTCTTCGTTGCAGCCTCGGCCTGATCCTCCAGTTTTTTCATCTTTGCTTCAAGGGCCCTTATCTCTCTCTTCAGTGAAGATGTTTCCCTCTTCATATCAACCAATCTTTGACGATTTTCAAAAGATTGCATTGAAAATGAATGGGCATGTTGAATAGCCTGAATGAAAACAGAAGTGTCAGAAAATTTTCTCAGAAAGAAACAGAAGGAAAAAACACAAATATAAACAAGAAATACTTACTTGGGCAGAGTGTTGGAGCACAAGGGCGTAATTTTCATACTCACTAAACTTGGCATTTCGCTCCAAGTCATTTGGAAGAAGGAGAGCAGTGCTAAGAGCGACAGCAACATTAATGTCATCAGCACTCTCACTAGCCATAATAGGCCTATCCTCCAGGGATAGATCGGGGGCCCAGGGGACGTCGGGCTTCTTCGAAGCCGAGGTCGTCGCAGACGATGACCTTGGCCTCTTTGTTTGTGTAGACCCTGAGGGTTGGCCCTCAGCAGACCTCTTGGTGGAGGCAGAGGTTGATTTCCTGCTTTCTGCCAGCTTTGAAATAGGCACAGCATCCTCAGCTTCGGCGTCAATAGCCTTGGCCTTAGGCTGAGCCTTTTTTACTCTCTTTGGTTTGGGGGGGAGCATTGATTGCGCCGGTGCGGCTTCGGCATCAGTTGGAAGATCGGCGAGAAGGTCTTGGACGACAGGCCTCGGACGAACCATCTCGGCAGTCTTTACTAGCCTTCGTCGGCGTTTACGTTCAGGAATTGGTATTAAGAAGGGGGCCGAAGTTGATGGAAGATCGGCTGGGTCAGATGTGGACTCTTGATCTGTCCGAGATGTAGAAGCAGTTAAGGTTGTGGCTGTTGGTGGAGAGAGACTCTTCTTCCTTTTTCGAGGGACGTCGGGTAAAGTGGATTTGTATGTAGGGACAAAGTTCAATAATACTGGGGCTTTTCGTTTGAGGATTGGAAGGCCAAGAAGTGTTCTCAGATCTGGTCCTGGGAAGAAGGATTGACGAAAATTTTTCGGTGGTTGATGAAGATCTGCAAAGAAACAGACGTCAGAAACAAAAAGTATTTAAAGTTCTAAGTAAAAACAATTAAGTGTTGACTCAGGGCTCTTACTCTTGCCCTCTGTGAGTGTTCGAGGAAGAGGGTAGAGGTGGACATCTTCATCTGGGCCAAATTCCCAATTTCCAGAAGCAATGAGAAAATCATCTCCAGCCCCCTTGTTGGAGTCTGGGAGGTCGGCTATAATTTTGTACTGAGTGGATCTCGGCTTAAGGTAATAGACAAAACCCCTATCCTTCAGATCAAGAGGGCACATGGTATAACAATATTGAAGGTCAGCTAGGGTAATTCTAAGGTTTTCTTGCCTAGCTAAGGCTATAATACAGTTAATCACCCTATAGGAATTGATAGTAAGTTGCATGGGGTTTAGCTTATAGAAATGGAGAACTTGACGAAAAAGGGGATCGAGTGGAAGCCGAAGTCCACATTCGATAAAAGCAACTACTGGAAAAGGCATTGTATGGTCTGTCGGCACGATAGTGTCATCATCCCCAGCCAGCTTAAGATGAACGTCGGCTGGGATAGAAAATTCTTGCCTAAAGTATTCAAGACTTGTTGGGGTATTTACCCTATGCCTCCACATACCCATTATGTCGGCCTAAACTAAGAGGAATATTAAGAGGAATATGTTTCAGAAGACGGGCGTTTTTCAGGTTTCCCTAAAGATTAAGGGTTCTACAGACAAATCCCAAATCTACGAACTATTAAGATAAAGATCGAGGGCACAGATCTGGGGCAGATACAAAAAAGAGAAAACAAAAACGAGGTTTCAGATTCAAGAACAGAGGTATAATTTTCAGAAACAATAGAGGTACAGGAAAAAATCAAGAACAGCGGCAAAGAGAATGATGGAAAAGCATAAAGGTTCAAAATATAGCCACAAAATTCATGATACAGATAGATCCCAGACCTCGAGTAAGATCAGTAATGGCAACAGACTGACAATAGCACATAAAGAGAATGAAAGAACTTAAAGGAAGGGGTCTTACCAGGACAAGTGAAGCCGAGGCAATACTCGTCGAACCCAGAAATCAGTTGCGACAGCAAAGAAGGCTTTACAAGAATACGGGACTAAGAACAGTTCCAGAAGAGAAATTGAAGCAATGGCAGATTTGAAGAAGAAGAACGAGCTTTCGGGAAGAGAAAGAGCAAGAAGATGGAAAGAAAAAGTGAAGAAAAGATAGAGGCAAAAGAAGTTTTGTCAAAAATGTGAAACGGCGGCAAAATTAGGGCAATCATTACGCCTATGGTAACGCACGCGTCAAACGGCGCAGACAAACGAACAGACAACTTCCAGGCACGTCACTGACACGCTCCAATAAAAACGAAACGCATGAAAGAAACAGTTAGATATGCATGACAGCTCATGCGCATAGGGGAGTACGACCGAAGCCTCGTTCTCCGAAGAGAACACGTCGGCTGAAAGAAGATAATCTTGGCAAAACAGTTTTTTTTGAGCCATTATTCAGAAAAGAAGTGACAAAAAATTCTATCTCTATCTCTTAAAGAGTCCAAAGCAAGCACTAAGATTGGAGTTCATAGAAGTCATACTTCTAGTTGGACTTGGATTAAGTATATTATAAAAGAGAGGCACCCCCATGGGTCTAAGGTATGCGATTCATATTTTGAATATTCAGTTTAGTACTTGATTATTCTTGAGAAACATACTGACTTGATCGTCGGAGTACCCCCGGGTGGAAGAACCACCGTCGGAGCTTTTTCTTTCTGTTACAGGTTGCTAAAGCCATCTATTCTGCCGGTGCTCTGCTGCTGATCACTAAACGGGCAGTGTGGTCAGATTTTTACCCACACAGAAACATTGAGGTTTTTTCCCCTCTGAGAAGTTTAGTAGAGGATTCCAAGTTTCTCATTCGAAGATGTGGCTTTTCGATTCAACATGTCAAGAGGGAGGGCAATATGAGTGCTGATGGTTTTGCTAAAATGTGGGCAAATCAAAATGAAGTGCTGGTTGTGATGGATGATCCTCCTGAAAAAAGCCGAGGTCAATTAGTTGCGGATATGGTTGGTCAGAATTATCTCAGACATCGTTCTGGGGACTCTTAGCTTTTCTTTTTTGTTTGTTTGTTTGTTTTGTCTATTTGTTTTGATTTCCATTTCCGATGTACCCAAAAAAAAGTAAGAGATTGACTGTCATGATTTCATTTATCGAGACTAAAATGAGATTTGACCAAAAGTATAAGGATTGACTATCATGATTTCATATATAAGGATCAAAATAAGATTTGAAATATAATGCAGAAGTGCAAAGTATAATTTCTCCAAAAAGTATCTAGCCAGGGTAACCAAAGCCTCTTTTGGGTAACAAATAACATTTTATCTTAAAAATCTATGCTTGTGCATACGATCAAAATAGCAGCTAGATTGAGGTTTATGACCTTTAAAATCGGGAAAAAAAATAATAAATAAATAAATTAGGGGCAATTATAAAGACGTCAGGTAGATCTTATTTATCAAAAGTTTTGTTTTAATTTTTAGTGATAAATATATTATTGTAATTTTTTTATTTTTAAATACAATTCAACTACTTATATTTCTCACATCATAATTTAGGAATTGTTTGAAATGATCTAAATAAAATATATTTTTTTAATTTTTTACGAAAAAATATGTAAAAAAATATAAATGTGATATGAGGGAATGCCAAACAAACTCTTAATAAACTAAAAACTCATAAACAAAATTCAAAATATTCAAATTATATATTATTTTGATAAATTTATGTATCATTACTAACGCTTTGGGATTCTAAATAAGTGCACTTTTTGACTTTGTATAAAATATGGGTTGGGTTTGAAGTGATGTGTTAAAGAGGTGATGTGACTTAAATAAGATGATATGACTTAAATAGGATAGTGACTTTTAAACTTTTTTAGTATATGCCAAACAATACAAACACAAAATGCATCTAAAAAGTGTTTAAAAAAATTCATTATCAAAATGAGTGGTAAACACAAATACAAAAGCTAAACAAAAATAAGATACACATGTCTCAAAAATGATACTATTTTTTATATATTTTTATGTCTCATTCTATATCTAAGCTTTGTATTGCTAGCATTGCTGCGTAATCATACCAAAAAGTTTAAGTCAATGAAACATTTATACCCAAGTTGATCTCTGATCAGAAAACAGAATTTGAATTTAAGCTTAAAGTTGCAATCAACAAACATGTTATTAGGATTGGGCTGTTGGTACATATTGATTGCACCAGTCTACAAAATGAGACTCAATCCAACCTCCGGTCCCATCCCATTTAAGCTTAGAGTTGCAATCAACAAATTATTTTTAGGATTGGGTTGTTGTAGGTTATTTTTATGTCCCATTCTTTATTAAACTCTGTATTGCTGGCATTGCTGCGTAATTATACCAAGTCTCAATGAAACATTTATACCCAAGTTGAGCTCTGATCAGAAAACAGAATTTGAATTTAAGCTTAGCTCTCGTTTGGAAAGCAACCCGTTAGTCAAAAAGTCAAAAAAATATTAAAAAATCAAAAAGTCAACAACACATACGAAAAAGTTAAAGATTCTCTTTTCTTTCTACTTTTTACACATCTTTTCATAAAAAATCAAAAAGTCATCCCAAACATACTAATATTTTTTAACTCATATTTTAGCCAAATAGTCAAACCTATTTTGGCAACATGGTTTGTAGTTACTTTTTTTGGTTAGTAGCAAAAACCAAAAGTTGGCTTTTTTGTCTTTTTTTTCATTTGGGAAGTTGGTTTTTAGCCAACGATGAAATTATAAATTTACCCCTCATTGGTCAAAATATGTTACATAAGTAAAGTTGTAAATATTTTAAATAAATGGGGTTAGTTTGGTCATTTTATTATGATTTGACATCATAAACAAACATTAATCAAAAAAGTCAAAAGTCACTTTTTACCAACTTCCCAAATCATTTGTCTAAAAAAGCCAAAAGCTTGGTTAAAAGTCAAAAAGTCACTTTTTACCATCTTCCCAAAACAATCCTAAATTAGCATGTTTTCAAACGAGCGTTGCTATCAACAAATATGTTATTAGGATTGGGTTGTTGGTATATATTAATTCTCGTTTGGCAACATCACCTTTTAGTTTAAAATTCAAAAAAAATTCAAAAAGTCAACAATTTATACCTAAAAGTTAAAGATTTCATTGTCTCTCTACTTTTTGCATATCTTTTCGTAAAAAAACTAAAAAATCATCACAAACATATTAGTTTTTTTTATATTATATTTTAGCCAAAAAATTATTAAAATAGTATGTTCCCAAACGATCTTATCCCATCCCATTTAAGCTTAGAGAT